ACGCCGTTGACAACTTCACGTTTTTGGGAAACACCCCAGAAAGCACCAAACAGCCCAGGTGATAAATTCCAGGTGCCAGGCCAGTCCTTCCCGGCGGTGCTCCGGGTCCGCCTTGTTGGTGTCGTCTTTCTCGGTCTCTCTTGGCACCAACACTTGAGCCGAAACGAAGCGGCGAGGTCGATGAGCCTAGATGAGCACTCTGATGAGCCTATGCTGAAGCACCCCAGTTCCTGGTGGGGGTCCAAAAGCAAATGAGGAATCCTGGGGTTAAAAGAACACCAACCTACCAGTCCAAGGAGTAGAACCTGGCCGGAATGACTTCATTGAGTTGTCATGTGGTTCTGCTCATGCTTAAATGTTAATCGGAGTTACTAAGGCTCTTGTCATGTCCGCAACCAAGGCAGCCAAAGGCCCTGCACTGTACACTGACTGACACACTTCAAGGGGCACATCTTGCTGTCACAATCTACTGTACAGCAAAATCTTCTTATATTCATTGACATTCTCTATTACTTTACTTGAAATTTGATGGAATAAGACACTTCCCAATACATGTATCAGTGGAACAACTGTTGTATGAACTACACGGTCAACATGGCAATTGCATTGAAGTACTGACCACGATAAACAAACCTCCATGTCTGCACTCCATCCTAGAAGTGACCAATCATCAACTTGTCCTCAAACCCCCAAACCAAAGCTACAGTGCTTGACATGTTTTCCTCTCCCAACTCACTGACTCGATGTTTTTCGTTTTTTCATGCGCCCGTCCGGTGGCATCTAGTGGCGTCTCCCGTCCCATCCCCGGACCCAAAGCCCCAAGAATTGGGTGCCCAATCCTTCTCTGCCGTCGCCTCAACGAAGCGGCGAGGCGAAAGAGCAGAGCAAGGTGGGAGGTGCTGAAGAAAAATCCACAGCCCCTTAGCTGTGATTCGGGGTGTCCATTAACCACCCCGACTGGGGGTCCTGGCATGGACGGTGGCACGAGTTTTTGAGGTCGGGAACTTCTTCAAAAGAATCCCGGCGGAAGGACATATCATCCTGCGGTGAATTAGGGGTCATTCGTGGGTCGTCCATGAGGCCTTTGTTTGAGATGTCACGTCGTCGACACTCGACACCCAGCAGAGGCCCAAATCATCATCCAACATGCTTTCATCGAAATAGGCCCCGGTTTTGGGGGGGCCAAGGGGCCACATATATATATAATATATGCATCAAGCTACCATGTTGGCGGCTCCAAATTTTGAGACAGCTGGCCACATGAATGCAACAAACGTCAAAGAAATAAGCTCGCAGCCTCGACAAAGTCGGGCAGGCTTCGCCCGGATTTGCGGGCATGACATATGACAAGAGCAAGATCAGAAACAAGCTGTATTATTGTATTAATTAATATATACTGTACATTATCCGCACATTCTTCAATATTCTTCAGTATTCAGTCTCTCTTTCTCTCTTTCTCTCTCTCTCTCTCTCTCTCTGTCTCTCTTTTGGGGGTTTGGTAAACAAATCGCGTATCATGGCGTCCCATGAATGGCACCAAAGTGGGAGCTGGTCCCAAAAGTTTGGAACTTAGACTTATAAGTGTGGGAATTATATGGAATCATATCCTGAGTCGAGCTGACCATGTTCGACCCCCCAGTCGACATCGCGCCAGGGTCCTCTTCATCTTCCGTTTTCACCCGCCGGGACCGCGGCCCCACCGCGGACGGACGACCGGGCACGGACCCGGAACACGCCGGAACTCGGGACTCTGCGCCGAGGTCTGGTGGTTTTGGTATCGGAGCACGGTCGTTTGGGCATGGCGGGTCTTGGAAGTTAGCTCAAGAGCTCAAGAGCTTGCTTCGGACCTTCAACCAGTGCTCACCCAGTGCTGCGTGCTGAAGAATTATGGGAAGAGAATCCTGAAGTCTGACTGTGAAGCATCCCAACTTGGAATCCTTGGAAACTCCGGACCACTCAGTCGATTCCATGTGCAGAACAGGGGAATCGACTGTAAGGGGATATTCCGGCTGAAGCCCATCCAGTCGGCGTTGTAAGGTACCGGCAGAAACAATAAGTAGCAGAGCCAACATCGGGCTCACCTGGCGCATCAAAGCCAACATCGGAAACAGCGATCTTTTTGGAAGTGTTCTCTGTGTCACTACACTCACTGGAACGAATTAACATGGAAGTGGATGGCATGGCCCTTGGAAGACGAGTTGTCCACTATCTTGTTAGTTCCAGGGAGATTAGGCCCTATGATGCCCTATGTCCTATGATGCCTGATGGACAATCCCATCTGTATACCCATTGCCAGTCCGACGTCCGACGTCGTGTGCAAGTTCTTGTTAAACGTCTCAGGTGCGTTCTCTTTTTTTGCGCTTGGTTTCATGCAGAAAAGCGTGTCACACCGAGTTCGTGAAGAGCACACATCTCTTGGAAGGTCCTGTAAACAGCGTCAATCCTAAGAATTATTTTCGGCACCAAAAGAGAAGGACAGTCCAGTCAAAAGCGCAAACCAACAAATGTTCCCAACCGCATTGTTTTCCGATATGGGTTGGTTCAAAAGGAGTGCAATGTCTTAGAAGACCTCGTCTTGGTCCTCAAAGGTCTGGCTGCCAGTCGGACCTATAGCGACTGGCTTAGCCCGCGCCCGAGATAAACATTGAAGAACCCTAGTACGACTATCCCAGTTCGGTACCCCAGCTAACGGGTCCTAGTTCAGGTCACAAAACACCTCTGTTGGTTTGGTTTGTAAAGAAATAGAGCCGCCCATGACAGGCCATGGCATCCACTTCCATGTCAGTCACTCGACCAAGGAGTGATGCTTTTCGTGTTGGAAAGTAACCCCCACCTGACTCCACCCATGACCCAACCGAGAGAGAGGGTGTTTGGCTGGATGAGTTCCAGGACTCCTGGGACTCCTGAACATGCATGTGGAGAAAAGAACACAGGGCTCATAGTTTGGGATAACTCACTGGATGACTCTAACATACTCTAACCCCTCCTGCCCTCAAATCCCCTGGGACTGCGGGATGGGGGGGCAGGTAGGAGAGTGGGCGGTCTTCTTCTCCCTCCAAGATCGCTCGACCATTCGCCTGGCAGCACGCCATATAAGCTTTGCTTGGTGAGATCGAAACGGCTTCCGGAACGTCGAAGAAAAGGGGGCGGGGATGCCGTGCCTTTCTGAATGTTCACGTTGTGTTGTTTTTTCTCCATCATGTAGCATAGTAATAGTTGAACAAGAAAAACAGTGGAACTGTGCAGGCTTGGGGTGGAAGAAGACCGGTCCCAGTTCTCAAACTTGGCCCATGCCGTGCTTCGTTCGCGCTGAATGGGACTGCTCCGAACCAAGCTGGCAGCGGCTGAGGCGTCAGGCCAAGCACCAAAGAGACTCCAGTCGCAGGACGGGCTCACAGAACCTTTTGTAACATATTGTAACTCCCAATAAACTCTCCATGGGACTGTGGACTGCCATATATATATATCCAATATGCCGATCAATTGACACTCAAAACTACCCCAGGCCGTTTCTCGGCCGTCCGGACTGGCAGTCCCAATATGGAGTGCCTGGGACTCGCTCACCAAAATCTCCTGTCTTCTTTCGAACCTGTGTTCTGAGAACCTGTGTCTGTGTGTGTGTTTTTAATAAAACATATTAAAGTGGCTCACATCATTGCTGTCATCCTTTTTGGATCTTCTTGTGCTTCCACCCACCAAAACACCGGTGTGAACACGGAAGCGCAGTGTGAACACATTCATTGAGAGGGAGTTCTTTAGACTGTTGCCGTTGCCGTCTGAGGGATGGATTTTTAAAAATGTATAATATGTATTTACAATTATTTACCACAACCCATCGATTGAGCATGCTTAAGCCTGTTGGTTTGGTGAGGTTCCCCATGTTCATCGATTGACAAACATTGGAGACGCTTCACCAGCCAGCCGCCGGTGAACACGTATCATCTGAGACAATCTGTAGGGCTCCAACTACCTCCATTTCGAAGGTATTGGGAGTGGGGTTGTAGGGCCTGGAGCACCGCTGAAGCCTCGACATTGAGCTTTCCATGTGGGCACCATGACAGGACACCAAGTTCCACCGCATTAAGTCACCACCACCAGCAGCAGCAGCAGGACCATCCTTGCGCTGCCGGCCCTCTCTCCTCTTTTTCCTCTGGCGAATCGGCCGATGGACCCATGGCAACTTGCACGGAACCGAGCTACCCATTGATGCAAACACGTGGTTGCAACTCCAAAGGATGAGGCCGCACACCAAACATGGCACCCTTCAGCAGTCCTGTATGAATCACCAAAAAGATGAACCTGGATGAACACTTCTCACCTGGCTTGCACTTACTTAACCTAGAATGCCAGAAACAAACATACCCTGCCACTACAGGAGCTGGGGAGCTGGCATGGACCCAATGTCCACGAAGTGCGGTCCAACAATTTTCAATCACATCATTGGTGGCAGCTCCTTTTTGATGGTTGCTACCGCAAGTCCCCGGTTTCACCGTGAGGCGACTGGGGGTGTGGGTATAGCGATGGTGGTGGTCACCCAGCGCGCGCAGTCAGACAAGCCAAAGCACTGGATTCGCCCTTTTTGTCATCTTGGACAATACAACAACACCGTATCTTCTTTGCTGACGCCATCAGAAACTTGCACTTCCAAACTAGGCTCAAGTGGCAATTAATTTATGATCAAACCAATGAGTATCACTGGAAACTCGTTGGGAACTCCATGCTAGACTACCAAAGGTCTACAAACACCTCCAACGCACCAGTCTTACCTTATGCTTGGACATGACAAGACTTACCAAAAACCAAACATACGTTTCTTGCTATAATATGCAATTTGGTAACTTGCTATAAGCAATTTGGTAATTTGGTCGTTTAACCCATTACACGCTATAGGAATATGTTGAACAAAGAACGCTCGGTGTAAAATCCTTAAACATATATGATTTCTTGATGTTCGTTGTTGTTCCTTGTCGGGGTCACTGATTTCTGACTGATCTCTGACTGATCATGACCCGTTATACCCACACCCCGATCGAGGACCCACACCCCGACGGACCCGGAGTTCTTTTGACTCCGCACCGCCGTGCAACACGAACCGTGGTCGCAAACACCGCAGCCGCGCGAGGAAAAAAGGGGCGCGGTCCGTTGCGGTCCACGTCGCGGTCCACTCAGCACCCGAGCACCAGCGCCAACCTGGGGGTGCTTTCTGAACGGCGTCGGGTGCCGGTCGTTTGGAAGCCGTTTGGATGAGTCCAACGGTGCCGGGAGGTGCGCATCACGTGAAGAAACTCGAAGAACTCGTGGCCTTTTTCTGCGGAGTGGCTGACGTAATTGCTGATCTATGTCTTTTATCTTTATAATTGAACTCAATATATATATATATATCAACCACAACCTTCAAAGTTACCTTTTGAGATCTCAGAATGAGGTCACTTGGTCCCTGAAGAGGTCACTTAGACACTCCAAAGAGGTCACTTTGAAGGTCCTGGAATGGGCTGTGTTTGTTTATATTATAATTGATCTTTCACATATATCCACTTTATATAGCCTTTTTATGTTGTTCGATGTTATATCTGTATACTTTATATCGTGATTAATTATAACCCTAGGGCTCCAAGTACCTCCTCAGAAGGTATTTGGACCCTCCAAACCCATCCCAAATATCTTCTTAGAAGGTGCTTGGAGCCCTAGGGTATGTAATTATACGTGTTGTTCGATGTTGTTCGCTCAGTCGATCGAGTCGATCCAGTGACAGTTTTCGGCCCAGTAACCAAGGCCAAGCACTGAGCCAGCTGAATCTCACCCAGGTCCCCGCGGAGGAGGCCACTGCGACGGACGGTCTGCGCCTGATTCGGAGAGAACGCAGGAGGAAGGGAATGGTGTTCATGGAGGTAGGACGCGGTCAGAGGTGTACTAAGTGCTTCAGGTATACGTCCAATTGGTCGTCCAATTCTCGAAGGCGGCTTTGGGTGTCTCAAAGTCCACAGGGACTGATTAAAACGAAAGAGGATGTGTTTACTATTGTGTCATGATGCTTGTCCAAGTAAACTGGGAGATTTGAATTTGCTGGGTCTCTACAAACTATAGCTATACCATCACACATACTGGGTCTCTCCCCGCAAAGCGTAAACTTGAACTCTTGGATGCCCAACAACTTTGGCATTGATGCCACATTCCTGACTGGTGCTTAGTAGGGAATGAGGGAATGGATCCAAAGGAATCTCTATTGGGGGCTCATTCCCTCATTTCCTACTAAGTACCAGTCAGCTGCAAAAGTTCCTGATACTAAAAGGATCAGGATCCTTTCTAGACCCTTCCCTACGTAGGGTTCGTTCGCATCAGACTTGCTGTAGCCGAGGTCTTGTCTCCCGGTTCCTGTGCTTTGCTACTGTTTGGGTGTACACTACCTTTATTTCAGTGTCATCTTCCTTCATCAGCTGCTAAAATGTACTAATGAATACTCATGACATCTCATGACTATAATATATGGTTATAATTGTTTTTATATATTCATCCACATATGATGTTTATAGGAATCAAACTAGCACACGTTCATTGTTTATTTATGTAATATGTTTATCACAATGTTTGTCTGGTTTGATTGGGTCTCTGTTCTTGCTTTCCAGATTGGTCCATCTTGAACCATACCTTATGGCGGTCCCCTAAAATAGAACTAACGGACAAATCCCAGATCCATGCAACTGAATCTTGATACGGGCCTTTCGAGCAAGGCACAGTCCTTTCTTTCAGTGGTGTTTTCCGAAGGACTGTCAGTTCGCGGCAGCCGTGTGCCTTGCAATTGTATGGATATCAAGCGGACAAGGTTCCACAAAAACATCTACAAGGTATTGTGATGTCTGTGGCTTTGGATTCCGGGGCAGTTGCCGGCAAAACCACTGTAGTACTAGTATAACAAAATTTAAAATTCATGATGTCCTCCAAAACTCTCCAAAACACATGACTTTGTTCCCCAAACCCTGCTGGGCCGCCCCCGACGTCGAGATGGTGGACTCCGCGGACGACTCGGTGGTGGACGGCGCAGATGTGGGTGCCTGGAGCGCGGTGCAGAGGTGCGAAAGGCCATGTATGCCATATATATTTTTTATATTTATGGGTGTTGATCTAAATTCCTTCATCCGGGATCCGTCATTCTTAGCCAATAAAACATATGTTAGCCAAGCTTTCGCCTTCCTGCGATTTATCTTTCGCCGCAGTATGTTGTGTTTATGTTTGCCATGTATGTTGTATGACGGATATCATTTTGTCTTGTCAATGGCTTCTTCTGTACTGGCAGGTACGAGATAAAAACTTCACTGTTTGTCAGCATGTGTCTTCTACTGAACAGTTGACACCCTGTACGTCTCTGTTGTTTCTCCTGGGTGTCTGCAAGAACTAAAAATTGCAAGAATCACTATGGTAGCCTGTCGCTCAGACTTACTCATAATGGGCTAGGGGTCAGATGTGGCAGGGTGAACTTTCGCCAATCTTGAGCTGAACTTCCGCTAAACTTTCGCCTTTTGCGGGGTAGAGTTTTGTAGCAAAGCCGCGCAGCCAAAGCAGCAGCAAAATTAGTAGCAGCAGCAGCTCCAGTAAAAAGTCGCAGTAGCAGTAGTAGTAGTAGTAGTAGTAGTAGTAGGTAGTACCAGCACCACCCAAGGGGACCCTAATGGATTTCAAAAGTCTATGTTGTTAAGGGGCGGTTTATAGACACCCCTTAGGAAAACCAAAATCCAACTCACCCCAAACCAACCCTGATTGCCTCCAGCGGCCCCCCCTCTGCGGCCACTGCGCTGTTCTTCCACAGCGAGCAGCCGATCTCACGATCCAGGCCAGGGAGGCCAAGTGGCGGGCAGGTGACTGGATGGTGGACACATAACATATCTATCAAAACTTTCGGCGGGTATTGGTTTCATGCATATTTCACCCAAGCCTCCTCAGCCACCTACAACAGGTGTATGCGACATATCGTAGCAAAACCTGGTATGAAAGTCCAGTCGGGCTTGAACGAAGGGCCAACTTTTTGACCTTCCCGACAAAATCTTCGTCGGCATACGTCGACTGAAGCAGCGGGTTGCAATGCACCGCTTGATCCAAGCACAGGTGCTCCAGCCTGAGATGTGATGTGAATCCCCGAATGGTCAACCCATCAACCGCCACCGCTGCTAAAAGAAGGAACGTAATCCCAAAGGTTGCACCACAACTCACCACACATACCCATTCTGGGAAAAAGGTCAAATCACATACATGAAGAACTGCTGAGGGTCTTATGAATCTTGGGTCTGATCTTCCACAAAAGTCTTTCCTCCCGAACAGCTTCAGCTGCCAAGCCTGAGTTACATCGATGAAAGGAAACCTGGAATGAACAAACTCACAAACCCCGACAACCACCACTGGTGGCAAAGGACCGTTCAAAGCAGACCGGAAAAGATAGCATCCAATTCCCAGAAGCTCTCTGGACTCAAAGCCGTGGGAGTCACACCAGAGCAACGCAGACGCCCCTCAAGAATTTGGCAAGCACCACAGCTTCCTCGATGTTGAGGCACGCCAGATCAGAATGAAACTCTTTAAGGTGGAACTGGTTCACTAGCAGTGAATTATACATACATGGTTGACTGTTGGAGGGCAAATCCCACATCAAGAATGGCTTGATCCAGTTTGATCAATGCAGTAAAGTCTCGGCTCCATTAAATTCCTTTTGGACCAAAGTCGGATAAGCACCCTTGATTGGATACAGCTGCTTCCTCAAGCGTGGGATGCAGTGCAATGCAGGACAAGTGATTCCTGCACCTCATGACCCCCCCACACACACACACACACGTCCACTGTCAATGGGCCAAGGAGCTGAGAAAAGATTTGCCCTCTGCTCTGGACTTTGTGCGATTGGCACAGGCGAATAAAGTCAACATATGTCAGCCTTCCAAACAGTGGAGCCTGGGCCAGCCCAAGGACTTTAGGCCCACAAAACAACTAATCAACCCGCATTACAAATGAAAAAGGTACGCTGACACCACTGCAAAGGCACAGAGGCAGCACAGTCCGGAATGATCGCAAGATCAACCAGGTGCAGCCAATCCAAAACTATCATCGATATGTGAAATCCCGGAACTCGCAACCAAGGTCCTATTATATACGCGACCCTAGCTGAACCTCAAGAGTTTCCAACGTTTCACCCCCAAGTGGCATGCCCTCCTCATTGATATCCGGGATGTCGTCATGCATGAACATCGGCTGGGTCTCGAGGTCATCGATAGATTTGCTCTTCCTCAGTCAGGCCGACAGAAGGCCATACTTGGGTTGGAACGCAAAAGAGGTGTGTACCCTATGGGGGTGCAATGGATGAATTGACAATTGAACTAGGATTCAAGGCAGCCTTTCGTCCTTTCTTGGATCCAGGTGAAGTATAGGTACCCCCCTTCCGCCGCTGCTTCTGGTGTTTCAAGAGGATGTCATGGATTCTACCAGCCTCAGCTCTGAAAGGACTACGTCGAAAGAGGCACCCCGTTGATAAAGTACAAATAAATTGATGAGGTCAAGCCACCTGGAGTTTGACAAAGTCATCCCACGCATCTTCTGAGAGGTTTCTACCTAAGATCAGGTTCCTAAGACACCACCGAAGGAATACATCAAAAAAGGGTCCAACCCAACCAACACAAGATCAATCAGGCTAGCTGCACAAGTGTTTTTTTTCTGAGGAGCTTTGCCTCACCTGTGTTTCCCTCGGGATGCAAGCCAAGCCAGAAGCCCTGAAGGATGATCGCACCCACGGATTGCCAAGCACCCGCAAGTCACCAGGAACCAGCTCTTCCTTCTTCTTGATAGATTCAACCGGAATGCGGGTCATCATCTCCTCATATAGTTTCCTGGCCGACCACCCTTAATCCCCAAAACCACAAATACACCACACCCATGATCATGATCCGACAATCTCCAAGCCATGTGATTAAGCCAAGACTCTTCGACTCCGGGTTCATCTTTGGTTTGCTCGGCATGGCTTTAGATATGATCGCGGGATCATTTGGTCTCATGTACATGTTGAACAGTGTTGAATTGTCGACCATTGTTGAACCTGGTTGAGTTGTGTAAGCCCCGAGCCTTCCACTCCTCCAAGCCTGCAAGGCTGCAGCCAGCAGCGCTGCGCCGCGCCGCGCGCCGGCGCAGCCCACCGCTCCACGCCGCCGACGCACTGCGCCGCCGCTGACGCGCTGCGCGACCCATTCCTCCCCCAACCCGTCGGCTTTACCAGTACCATCCAAAGAGTGTCTAAAACAGCCCATGTAAAGCTGTAAAACTATGATTCTTAAGGGGTACCCTAATGGACCCTATAGCTAAGGGGCAGTTTATAGACACCGTTTGGATGGTGCTGGTAGTAGGTAGTAGGTAGTATGTATAATAAGTATAGTAGTAGTAGTAGTAGTAGTAGTAGTAGTAGTAGTAGTAGTAGTA